CTGTAGGCACTAAAAACAGGAAAAGTTTTTCCTCAAGATTATCAGACTAGGATGCCTTTGCTAGGAAAATAGACCGGAAGGGCTCCATATTCTCTTCTCGCCACTAGGCATATTCGTACAATATATTGGGTCCCAATAATATTGGGTATTGGGTAGATTGGGTTAAGCCTACTTTTACAATACAGACGCATGCTCTATATCCCGATCGGGATACATTTTTATATCCTAATTGGGATATATAGCTCGATCGGGATATGCTTCCTCACTGTTTTATGAATGTAAATGATATTAAGGTTAAAAAGTTGAAATCCAGTGTATTGTGGAACACAATACTACCCAATGTTATTATACAATATTATTGGGTATCCAATAATAATGGATCGGAATATTATCGGATACCCAATGGTATTGCGCAATATCTTCAATAATGATTGGTATTGGTGCATGCCTACTCGCCACCTCGTAACAGAGTTCAGTTCCTTTATCGAGTGTGTGTAGCAGAGTTGGAACCGGGCCGGTTACTGGTCGGCTCGGGCCGGTGCCGGTCCGGTCCGGTGTAAAAGTTTAGACCGGCCGGTCTCCACCGGTCTTTCGCCGGTCTAGAAATATTTTCAAACCGGCCGGTGATCGACCGGTTTTAATCGATCTGGTGGTTCTTCCACACAACCACAAGTTTCATTTCAAGACGAAATAAAAAAGCAAATACAACTCTATGAAAATTCAGCAACTTACAGCTCATCACAAGACAATAACCCTTTAGTTTTCTGGAGAGAACAACAACAAAATCTTCCTATCTTAGCTAAAATTGCAAAATCTATATATGTTATTCAAGCATCGTCAGCTGAATCTGAAAGACATTTTTCAACAGGTGGACAAATTGTCACTCAACAACGATCACAATTAGATCCTGAATGTGTTGAATCGTTAGTAGTTTTGAAAGAAGCATATTTAAATAATAATTGACCAAAAAAATAAGAAGTTTTCATCTCTTTTGTTTGTGAATATTTCGCGTTCTGGTTTGATTCTCAGTTTGTTTGGTACTATTTAATCTGTTGCAGATATTGTTGTAAACTGGAATTAGGACAGTGCAGAAAAGTGATAACTTCAAATAAACAAGTAACAGAAATATGAAAAAGCTAGTGAAAATGACTTTTTCATTAAAAATATTTTGATTTACTGATAAAAGCGTCTAAACCGCCCAGTTTTTTGCCGGTTTTTTACCGTTCTCGAAATTTCTTGAAAACCGGCCGGTCTTTTTGCCGTTTTTCACCGGTCTAAAAAGATTTTTGGGGCCGGTCGGTCCGGTCCGGTCTGCTGTTTTGAACCGGCCGGCCGGGCCCGGCCTCTTATTTTTAGACCGGTTCCAACTCTGGTTCCAACTCTGGTGTGTAGCAAGAAGTTCTTAACTGTTTAGGGAATCTAAGAAGTGCTGAGTTTATGCCAACAATCTTCTTATAAATACATGAAACAATTTTCTCTTCACAATTCTATATCTGATAGTGCTCCTATACTGCTGCCGTTTGCTATTTCATGAACTAATCTTGTTCTATAATCCTCAGTATCATATTGACGTAACGTACCATCATCTAATAAAATATAATGTGTATGATTCATTTCTTGATCCCGTTCGCCCTGTTGCCTTGGTTGTACTTTGTCTTCACCTCTGGACGGTATATTATCTGGGTTATGTGACTCGAAGATGGAAAGTAAGCGAAGAGCGCTCATCGATATTCAATGAAAATTGATTGTATCTTCTGACCACCTGGTTATCATGTTCAGACTTTTTCAACTTTTCAAAATCTTTGATACAACCATATTTTGCTATACCCGATGGCCGCTACCTTTTTCTTATCAACATTCATTAGACCAACTAATTGTACGATGCTAACATTGACGCTATTTGTTATCAACCAGGCATCTGCAAAACGCAGAAAAGAAGAACTTATCACATACACCTATAGCCTCTAAAGATGAAGCCCGTGGCAAGTTATCCGTTAAACTTGTTTAGTAGGAAGTAAACGAATTGATTGTAAATGCTGTTCATAATCGGATGGAACTGTTCCATTGGCATCGAATAGGAAACTATTGATATATGTTGTTTGGTTATCTATTGTTGATTTCGATGATAAAAATAGATTAAAAATGTTTAATGATACCAAACGTCGATGAAAATCATCAAATTTTATTAATGTTTTATTTTAACGAAAATATGATATTTGATGATGATTAAAATTTGTTGATAAATCTAAAATAAATTTATATCCAACTGATCCAAAATGTTCAACTATTTCAGTTTTTAATTCATTTGTTGTTAATAATTCTATTAATTCATCGTCTATCTTTTTATCAATTGTATAAAAGCATGCATATGATTGAAGAAACCACACATAAAAACAATATGTTAAACCAATATTTGTACAACAGTCAATAATAAGATTTTTTAATTCTTCCATTGAATGTTGTTTAGTTAATAGTCGATTGACATGAATAAATTCATTTTTATAATCGGATATTGATAATGGTAATATGATATTTTTCAATTCTTCTTCTTCTTTTTCTTTCACTATTATTGATTTAATCCATTCAACATCGCGATGTTTAAAATGTATTCCTAATTCATTCAATGTTGTATTTGACATATACAACATTTGTTTAATAATAAACAATTTAAATATTGAACAAAATTTTGAATTATCATTAAATAAACATCGATCAATGTCAGTCATAATTTTATTGTTGTTCAATTGATCATTATAGAGAATAAATGTAAATAATATTTTCGGCTTGTCCACGTAGCGGTATCCTTTTTTCGCTCTTTTTCAAAAGATTATTACAGTAAAGCTACAAACTAATCTAAAATCGCAACTACATAATTAAGAGACGTTTTGCCACAACATCAACCATAGTGCCAAAAGTTTGTCAAGTGAAATTTTTTGACCTATACTTTTTTTTCTGTTTTTGGACTCTATGATCAAAACTGGGGTTATGAAAAAAGTTTCAGATCGTTTGGACTTGATTTCGCCGATTTATAGAATTTACAAAATTAGGTGTATCGAAGATTTTCAAAAAAGTGACCTCCGTGATATTTTGCCTATAACTTCGTCGAATTTTATCCGTTCTATGCGAACGACATCTCATTCGAAAATCCATCAAAAAATGAACAAAATCATGTGTTTTTAAATTTTTTCGAACGGAAACTAGATTTTTCAGAAGCCTACCATTTGAAAAATTAGTAATTTTAAAGACAAAATTCTTCCAATAAACTTTATTTTTCTGCGCCCAGTAGATTTCCCGCAAAATGTAAGTTAGTGCGTTTTGTAGAGCGTGCAATTCTCTACAAAATGAGCTATAAAACTTTCTTTCATGACCTCAGAAACATATTGAAAAATTGCTTGCATATATTACCATCAAAGTAATTATACTATCATTTTTTTAAAATCAATCTTACTTGAAAAAATATTAAATCAAGTATCCTGATGAAGGTACAAGCGGTTATAGACAGACATATTATAAATATTTCAATATTTTATTTGACAACAGTACGTTTCCTCAATGACGAACGTTTTTTAGCCGGTCGAACATCAGTCGTTGAATCAGCTCTTTTATCTGGCGACACTGCTCGGTTTCGAGAGGAAGCCGGAGGTGATGATTGTTCGTTGCTAATTCCCATTGAATATCTTAAGTTATTTCGTTGCTCAGTCTCTTCAACTACCTGATTATCGTCAAATTCATCATCATCTTCCTCCTCCACTTCGTC